ATGTGGCCTTTGGTGGCCAGGCTGGCAGCTATCCTGCCCTAGACGGCCGCATTCCTGTGCCTAATGTGGAGGTTGTGGACGTTGGAGGCCTCCCCCTAAACCTCAATGAGGTCTATGATCTCTGCACTAGACCAGGTGGGTGCCCGCCTCTTGCGGCCCCGGGCAGGCTCTTGTGAGCCACCAGCCTGTTCCTGGAAAGAGGCGGAGGGTGGGTGGCAGCAGATGGATGGCTCATGCAATGCCAGGTGCAGGGTCTGCTGGCTGGGTGCGGGCAGGCTTGCACCTGGTACGGGCACCGTAGCCAGCCTGTGCCCCTTTAAGGGTTCCGGGGCCGGGAGGGGGGCATATGAGTTTCCCTGGTGTTGGCCAGAGTGGCCACCAGGGACAGCTGGGGAGGGCTAGCCTCCCACTAGTTCGAATTAAGGGGCTACATACCCCTTAATTCGAACTAGTAAGTTCGAACTAGGCTTAATCCTCATAGAATGAGGTTTACCTAGTTCGAACTAAGCGCTCTGCGAGTTCGAATTAAGTTCGAACTAGTGGAGCGCTAGTGTAGCGCCTATCAAAGTTAATTCGAACTAACATCTGTTAGTTCGAATTAACTTTGTAGTGCAGACATACCCTTAGAGCCCAGCTCTTACTAAACTGCTTTGAATGGACTCTTGTCTCCATTTACAAACAGGTGTGAGACTGTCAGACGGGGGAATGGGACCCGGCTCTCTTCTCCTGGACTCTGCCTTTCTCCTCCCTTCAGAGACACTTGTTTAAGGGAAAGTGAATCTCATTCAAATGACTATAGTTTAGGAGCCTTTTATTGTTGCTGTTGCCTTGGAAACTCCCTCACCCATTTCCCCTGAGTCAGGAATGATCATTTATTGGTTCCCTCTGATTGGTTTTAGTTTTGTTAGCACTAGAAGCCTTACCCAGCGTTCCCAGGGTCCATCCCGCGGTGGGGGGTGGACGCATATCCTGGATGTTGGCTTCATCCCTGGACCAGCCCAAGACCATGGGGGCGGCGGGTACTGTCTACTGGCACTCCCTGGGCTGGCCCAGAAGCAGCGGGGGCTGTGCAGCAGCTGGCAGCTGCCCCCTGGGGCAGACTGGGGTGTCAGTTGCTGCAGGCCAGTGGTATCCTGCTGGGGCACTTACTGCCCGCCTGTGGTCATTCTTCATATAATATCCTTCTACCAGACCCCTCCCTTTCCTTTTGATGAGAAACATTGATGGCAGACCGCAGTGCTCTGGCACAACCAAACCCTGACTTTACTTTAAGGTAGGATAAGAGGACCCTGAATACCAAATTTGGTGGTCTTTGATCTTATCGTTTATGAGGAGTTCTCAAACAAATGGACTCGCAGACAGACAGGCAGACAGACAGAAGCACATTTCTAAGCTATATAGTCCGATCTATTGCAACATGTTGCTCAGAGCCCGTCACTCCCGAAAAGCCCAGACTCGTGCCTCAGTTTCCCCACCCAGCTCCCGTCTTGGTACCTTTGATTTTCCTCATAGTCTCCTTCAGCGCATGGGTTTGCTGGCCCCAGTAACCGAGTCTGATTTCCAGTTCAGGGGAGGCGTCCTCTGGCTGTGGCCACGCCCCCTTTTCACATCTAGAAACAGTTTTTCCACGTCAATCATTGTTGATTTGACTGGCGCGTTGTTCTCTCCGTTTCTCGCCAGTGACAGTGCTGAAGGCAGGGGCCTGGGGAAGGAATCTCTGTGCCCAGCCGCAGAATAGCTCCGGCCCCAGCAATGGCTGGGCAAGCTCCCCCGAGGCGTCCCACCCATGTGCTTCCACCCGGAGGCCCCGAGACCAGCACTGGGGAGAGGAAGGGAGCCCAGCAGGCCCCAGGCACAATTCACGAATCCAAGGACCCTGCTGCTCCTTGGGCATCTGCCCCCCTGCAAGTGGGAACGAGATCAGCTCCCCCCCCCCGAGCAGCCTGTTGCTCCCCAGCCTCCGAATGGGCCTCGTGTAGGTCAGACAGGCTTTGCTTGCTCCGGCCCTGGGCAGCAGAGAGCCCCCATGCCCTGGGGGTGACGGGTCCGGACTGTATGCCTGGAGCTCAGGGCATCGTCTCTGCCCTCAGGCTGTGGCTGCTTTGCAGAGCTCATAGTGGCAGGGCTGCACAGATGCAACTGCCCCCCCTCCCTCCTCCGCACCATGGGCTCTCCAGTGTAGCTGCTGGAAGCCAACAGGAAGGAGCTCCCTGCCCCCAGTGAGCAGCTGGAGCTGTGCTGGCTGGAGAAGCGTTCCCCCCGACATAGCACTGTCCACACTGGTGCTTAGGTCAGTGTCGCTTATGCCTCTCAGAGGGGTGGCTCCTTCACACCCCTGAGCGAGGTAAGTGTCACCGAGGGACAGGGCAGCGCAGGCACGGCCTCAGAGGATAAGTGATTTAGAAACCAACTTTACAGTCTAGGAACAGCAGGATCCCCAGGTTTATGATAATCCCACGGAGATTCCGTCCCCGTGATAATCCCACAGAGATTCCGTCCCCGTGATAATCCCACAGAGATTCCGTCCCCGTGATAATCCCACAGAGATTCCGTCCCCGTGATAATCCCACAGAGATTCCGTCCCCGTGATAATCCCACAGAGATTCCGTCCCCGTGATAATCCCACAGAGATTCCGTCCCCGTGATAATCCCACAGAGATTCCGTCCCCGTGATAATCCCACAGAGATTCCATCCCCATGATAATCCCACGGAGATTCTGTCCCCGTGACAATCCCACAGAGATTCCATCCCTGTGATAATCCCACAGAGATTCCGTCCCTGTGATAATCCCACAGAGGTTCCATCCCCGTGTGTCACCTTCACCACAGAGCAGCGGTGTCCTGGGATACTTGTTTTCTCAGCCTGGGGCCAGAACAATGACACGGGAAGAAGCCACTTACCTATCTGTGGTGGTTCTGCCATCCTAGAGGGGAGATAGGAAAAAAGACGCTCAGTCCTGCACGCCACTACCCCCGGGGAGGGGGGTCAGTTGTGTTAACTTCAGTAGAATCAAGGGGCTCCAAAGGAGACAAAGGTGCGAATTGGACCCTGTCACAGTCCAACATGAAGCGAGTTAAACAAGGTTTAAACAAGGTTCGCAGGTTGGGATATAAACATTTCAGCCTGCTGAGTCCCATGGCAAACACACCTTTAAATCCTTGCTCGTGTTTTATTAAAATACTGAGGAAAAGAACCGGAGAGAGCTAGAATAGAAATGCAAAGCGTTCCTTGTGCCTTTTCCCAATAGCTAGAGAGGTTTTAGATGGAAATTTCCTTGTGCGACAGGCTCTTAGGTTATATCTACACTGCACGCTTATTTTGAAATAAGCTCTTCCAGAATAGTTATTCTGAAATAACTTATTTCAAAATAGCACATCTACGCTGCAGGGAAGCCTCAGGATTAGTCCGAGGCAGCAGAGGCGGATATAGGGCAGGGCGAATGGGGCGGCCGCTCCGGGCCCCGCGCTTCAGAAAGCCCCGCGCATGCGCAGTGGCAAAGCGGGGGCTCCGCGGAATTATGCTGCCCGGGGCCCCGCAAAACGGTCATCTGCCCCTGCGAGGCAGGCTTCCCTAATGTAGACCCACTATCTTGATTTAGGGTGTGTCTAGACTACATGGCTCCATCGACGGAGCCATATAGATGAGTTTACTAGACATAGGAAAATGGAGTGGTGATTTAAATAATCGCCACTTCATTTACATCAAAATGGCCACCGTGCTATGCCGATCAGCTCTTAGGTGGCACAGCGGGGCAGTCTGGACGCTCCATGGTCAACAATGGAAGCCTTTCTCGACCACTCTGTTATGCCTTGTGGAATGAGGTTTACTGGAGCGGTCGACAAAGGCTTCCAGACCTGGCAAACTTGTACCGGCATCTGGCTGCTCAAGCCATGGCACTTAAGTGTTTGTCTGGCCACAGGTTTGCAGCAGTGTCTTGGACAGCTAAGGGTATGTCTAGACTGCGTTGCTATTGCGGGATACCGGAAGTCTGCCGAAATAGCAACGCTGCACCTTTAAAAGCACCCGTTACTTCCCGAGATAGCAGGCATGCTATTCCGGTGTCCCTGTAAGCCTCGTTCCACAAGGGTTAAGGGATTTGTTGGAATAGTGCCTTAGTTTGAAATTTGGCACTGTCTACACAGCGCCAAATTTCAAAATAAGCTCTTTCGATTTAGACATAGCACCAATTGCCTAGCTTATTCCAACAGAAGGGTGCTGTCTAGGCGCACCCTAAGTCAGATTTTGACTGAACGGCAGCAGAAGTGTGGGAGTGGGGAGGGGAAAGAGAAAACCAGGGAAGGAAGGTAAAAAGATGCCCTGGGAGTGGAGGTGTGTTACTTAGGCCTGGTTGCCCTCAAATATTAGGTTGTTATAGCTACATCGCACAAGGGGGAGAGTCATACTCCTGAGCTGCCTAGTTGAGCCAAACTAAGTCCCCCCCTGCGGTAGGTAGTGCTAGGCCAAAATAAGAACTCTTCCATCCACCTGCCTATTGCTGCTGGGAAAGACCATCACCTGTTCCTCTAGGTGGCCCTCCCTGCGCCCCCTCCCTCCACAGGCACCAGTCACCTATATCCTCCCTGTCCCTCAGACCCTTCTGCTGGTCACCGGACCTTTTTCTACATCCTGGCACACCAGCTCTAGCAAAATCTGGCTGTTCTTTTCTGTATTATATCACTAAGGTTTGTTCTCTCCTGTTACAACCCCTGGCTAACCTCCCCAAGGTTCTTCTCACCTCACTCCAGTTTCGCCACCTTGAGAAAAGGAACCTTGTCTTGACACAAACATGAATTTCTCTCTTTCCTGAGCTACTAGGGGTAATCCAGCTAGCTCAGTTGGTTGAACACAAGCTTCTTAGTTTCAGGGTTGTGGGTTCAAGCCCTGTGTTGGGTGAGATGCTTTTGCCAGAGGATATTGTGAAGACACGGACTTTCGGGGCTACACGGCAGGGCTAAACTGGAAATAATTTATTTTTGAAATAGCTTGTTTAGCTTTTGGCTGTGTCTACACAGCAGTTATTCCACGTTAGAGCCCTCTTCCCCCGACTTCCCTTACAATGAGGATTACAGAAGTTGGAGCGAGCAGTCCTCCAGTGTGACCGTATATTGACATTACGTCACAATCACTGCTTGTGTGTAGACGCAGACTTTGTCATTTCAGAATAACGTCCGTTATTTTGAAATAATGCTGCTGTGTAGACATAGCCTGACCGGGTTCAAAGAACTAGATAAATTCCTGGAGGATAGGTTCATCAATACTTATTAGCCAGGATAGGCCGGGAGGGTGTCCCTGAGTCTCTGTTTGGCAGAAGCTGTGAATGGGCGACAGGGGGGAATCACTTGGTGATTCCTTGTTGTGTCCACTCCCTCTGGGGCATCTGGCATTGGCCACTGTGGGCAGCTGGGATGTCTCCGGCTCAGTCTCACCTGCAGGAATTCACTGGCTGGCTGCTGGCACTTCCCCTCCAGCTCCCCGATCTGCTCGCTGAGCTGGAAAATCTTCACGGAGAGTTTCCTGACAGCATCAGTCTGGAGCCCCACGATCTCCTCGTTCAGCTTCTCCAACTGAGCCAGCAGGAGTCGCTCTTGTTCCTCCAGGAATCCGCGCAGCTGCTCAAATTCAGACACAATCTTCCGCCTCTCCAGCTCTGTCCTTTCCTGCGGTGCGCAGACACGGAGAGGGGAAGGGAAGGGCAGGGACCGGGAGTGAGAAACAGCTCCCAGAGAGTGACACTGTGTGCGCAGTAAATAAACACACACAGAGAAATTCACCA